CACTAACCCAGCACCCTCACAACACCCAACAGAACACTAAATATGGCAGACACATCACTGTCAACGACAATGATGTTAATTTCTAGCTGCAATTTCTATACCTGGCTGAGTTCATCAGGCATATTCAGTAGGGCAGACCTACAATAGGAGGGCCCCATACTGGGACTGGGGAATTTTAAGAATTTTCAAATGAAGGTAGATAAGTGAATTAGGGGATAAACTGCTGGGTGTTCCCACAACATATTCCTTTGTGGCTGGGATTAGCTTAGTATCATATGCATGAGAGAGCTCAATATATTATTTCTGGGAACCTAAATAAAATAGAATATAAAACTCCTACAAGGGCTTCATTCAGTTCATGGAGCACTGATTAAGTTCCATCTATGACTTTATTAGATGAGTACTGCAATTGTCTTTTTCTTATTCCATTACTCCTGCTTCCATTGATCTCTTCATAGAAACTAGGTCCACTCGGTGAGGGTCAATGGCTAACAGCTTGCTTTGTTTAGCACTATCTTCTTATTGCCCTTTGGTAAAAGGTATATAAATCACAATCTTGAGAACAATCATTTACACAATAAAAATGAATTAATATAAGCCAGATGAGATGTATCACACTGGGTTTAGGGGAGGTTATAAGTGCAAAAATAACTATGAATTTAAATACATTCCCCCTAAGGTTGGGGGAGAGGGCAAGGGTAAAGATTTAAATTTTTTACAAAGTACTGTAAACAAGAGAATGTTAAAATCAAATTAAAATTGACCACTGCTTGGGAATGTGTATGTAACAGGCATCGCAAAATGACATAGGTTGCTTTATAAATGGCCCATTCTTTGATCTTTAATTCATTCTGACCCTTTTGTAAATCAGGCTGACTCTCCAGACAGAGCCAGGCCTGAGCACAATTAATTACACAGGAGGTTTCAAGGAAGAAGAGACCCGAGTGAAATCAGCACACGACTTGAGTCTTTTTCAGAAAGATGCGTCCTCTCCACTTAGAGTGAGAACTGCATTTGGCTCCGCTACAAAAAACAGTAGCTCTTTATGTCTTAATACATAAAGTTGATCTCTTTTTGAAGTCATTCCATGTACCATGAGAAAGAGAGGGAGCAAGTGCTGACCAGTTCATAATCCTCCTGGGAACGTCTCTGGAGTATCAAAGATGGCTGTCTCTCTCATGTAACACAAGGAATAAGGACTGAGGGTTTGGGAGACGGTGTTCTGACATGGATCAACACCGACATGAGCTGTTCCTCAGAACTGGAATCCTGTAGCTGGCTTCCCAGATGCAGAGAATTCTCCTTTGGAAGTCTATGGAGATCCAACTCTCCGTGGGGTAAATGGTCATTTGGCTTTTTGAAGGCTGCAGGATGCGGTCCAAAGCATTTACACCTCCATCAGAAGAAGAGGATTTGTATCCTGACGTAAATTGTATGTGATAAGGGACAGGCTCTGACGGTCGTGATACGCCTGATGAATCTGAATGACTTGGAACACTGGCGGTTCAGCCTTAGCCTCTTTCCGGGGAGGAATGTGAGGTCAGGTTCTAAAAGCATCCACTCCACATCATAGTTAAATGCCTTAAATAATTTTCATTTCTATTGCTGCATAGGCCAGTGGACACAGCAGGAAGATATTAGCTGCTGATTCTTATAAAAGCTATGCTAATTTAGTGAACATTAAAAGGAATTAATATGGACTGTTCCCAGTTGAAAATGTTTGGTATTAATTCTTAACATACAAAGATAAAGTACATTTTTGAAGAAAAATCTGTTTTGAAGAAAAATCTGTTTTCCAACCTTTTTTGTCAATGCTTGAGGCAAAATCAGTGATCTCATTTCTAATTGAAACACCAAAGAAAAGCTCTCTGTGAGACAGCTGTTGAGGAAATTTAAGGCATAAAATTTCTCTGAGATTTTAAAGAACTGGGAAAAAAAGATGAACAAATACTTAACTTTCGGTCTTAGAATGCAATAAAGAATTGGCATCTGTTAAGGTTTCATATGGCTAATGTTTTCTGAAATTTCCATTTTATCATTGAGAGGCCTGTGCCATCTCCTCTGTGTCATTTCTATTTTAGTTTATGTTTGCTGAAGGGAATCTATCTATGACGGTGGTGTGCAGTTTGCATTTGTAAGAATGAATTATTACCAAGGGCAAAACGTCGTATGTTTCAAAAGAAATAACTACTACCTACTCACCAAATGGCTTTCTTCTACCAAAAGAACAAGACAGCCGTTCTCAGCCCCCTCTACCCCTTCCAAACCTTTCATCTCCAGTATCTCCTTCTCCACTCACATGTAAGATACTCAATACATATTTGTTGAATTTAATTAAAATCCCCAGATTTCTCTAAAGTACAAAACTAGCTGTTCCCATCAAGCTATAGGGCACTCAAGAAGACATGGCTGCATTTTCCTAAGGGAGTGCAGAGACCACAGCCACTCGCACACAGGTTATTTACAAGCAAGAACACAGAGTCAACAGGCAAGCGTTCAAACAGTTCAACTCCAGTTTGGCCACTAGCTATTCATGACTTTGGATGATTCACTTATTCTCTCTGCGCCCCAGTATCTCAACTTTAAAATGGAAACTTCTAATGTAGTATCTGTAAGGTCCTCATAAACATTCAGACTTTATGATCCTTACTCTTTAGCCCAGTAACATTTAAACATTAAAAAGAAACTAATTTTAAAAGAGTTCGTAAACAACTAACCAAGTCCAAGTATCGTGTGTATTCGTATGCATATATTAACCTCACGCATATGCTGTTTTTACATTGATTTCAACTGTTTTTGAAAAATGAATAGATCACTTTTCGGTAAACAGAAATGGATTTTAAAGGCATTACAGGGGCAAACTAAAATAATTCCACAGTAAATCATATAAAAGGAAGGATACTTTTTTTATACTGTGAATAATCACCACCTAACTGGTGAACATTATTTTTTTTGCTTAAGACAGATATACCTATAGATAAATTCTGTCCAAAAATTAAGAAAACGAGCTTTTGGGTTTGCGTGTCTCCAAACAGTTCCTGTGGGAGTTAGGTTGGATGTAGTTCTACAACAATGTTCTCCCTGAAAAAAATATGTGAACTATTTCAGTGCTTCGGTAACGACTGTTCTGTTAATAAACCTTTCCTTTCTTTCCACCACAAAACTTTTTTTGGCCTTTGTCTTGATTTGGTAAACCTTCTAAAAATTAATTGAAGAGGTATTTCATTCAGCATAAAGATAGGGTTAATTTGTGCTCAATATCTGTAATCCAGCAGCGCCAGTCCCTTCTCTGTCCTCATTCTTGCTCCCTCTGCAGCATCTGGCAATGGGAGCACCCAACCCTCCCTTCTTGAAGAACTCTCCTCCCCTGACATCACTAACAGGACCGTGTTCTCCCACCTTTGACACTGTGCCTTATTTCTCTGATTCTTTTCCAGCTCTCGAGCTATGGCCCCACCAAGACCTAAACTTTCTTTATCTTCTTTTTGCACAAGGAGTCAACAGCACCACCTTCACTTCCTAATCTCTATCTCTAACCCAGACCTCAGTCATGAATTCCAATTCTATCACCCATTTCCATATAACATGAATGTGCTACAAGCCTGTCTAACACAGAGTCCCTCTCATCCCTTATTTAATTTCTCCCCATAATGTCTGATATTCAAAGATTCCCACAGTTTGGTCCCAAAGAGTCCTAACTTCCTATCTCTAACTGCTGCTCTATCTCCACATTTTCATTTTTCCAAATCAGTCTCATTGTTTCCCAAACTCACCTTGCATTTTCCTTCCTCTTGGCTTTTTCTCATGTACTGCCCTCTTTTGGAAGGCCTCCTTCCACCAGTTTCTCTCTATCCACTGAGGTTGTCTTCATCCTTTGTGCCTATTTCAATGTCTATCTCTTCTTGAAGCCCTCCCTAATAACAGCTGGTGATTCTTTCTCCCTCTTTCAAACTGCTCCAGTCCACCAAGCTGGTATGGCACAGTCAGGGTTTGGCAGTGACATTATCGTCTCACACCCACAAGCCAGATCTCCTAGAGCCAGGCTTGTGTTCGTTGTGTTCCCTTGGTGACTACCACAATGCTTTGCACCGAGATTTCACTAAATACCTGTGAAGAGATCTCCAGGCATCCTTTTAAGAGGAATATGGGAAAGGGAAACAATCAGTGCTCTTATAATAATAACAGTACTTGTATTTCTGGCTTTTTAGTATCGAAAATATGAAACTCCCATCCCCCAAATGAGAGCATTTGTGAACCTGGGAGCGCAGTTCCTAATTTGGCATCTCTGAGGCACTCCATCATGTTCTAGGCAGTGGTAGCCTGTACCAGTGCCCATTTTCCATTTTATTTGGTTATCAGTCAAAAACGCCTCAAGTTTTTGTTTACCTTGAGGAAAAGTGCCTCAGGGATATTTTCAGTACTTGGTGAGAACTTTAGTCGTCCCTAGCAATTCTTTTCTTTAGTAGCGCCCATTCTTCCCATCACTGCAATGTTCTACAGCCACTCTTTCAAAGCATAGACTGTATCCTGAGATAACAAAGTTGGTCCCTGTACAGAAAGAGGAAATGGTTCCCTTGTGTGCCCATTGTGTAGCAGGTCATAAAGACCCAACAGAGGGTTACTAACAAGGCTGCATTGAATGTCTGTGTTGGGGCTGGAATCTGAAGCGTTGATATCTGGCTGGAACTTCACACTGATGTCTGGACTCATTTTTCACGTGTTGCGTAAGTCCCACCAGGAGTTCCCGAATGGCTGATACTAAGTTAAAGAATGTGTAGGTGGAGGTCATGCTTTATTTATGGAAGGAGAATGAAGCTACTTGGTTGGTGACATGGCAGTAAGCATTCATAAAAGCAAGTAATGACTCACTAGTAGGTGGAGAATTTAATGAATTCTTTCTTAAAATCAGTTTCCTGAAACTCCAAGAGGAATGGACTTCTGTTTTTATTATCTACCATTCTTCCCTTCCTCTCTAAGGGCATTCCTTTCTTCCTCAACAGATCTGCTTCTGCCCTGTTCTCTGTGGGTCTGCCAATCATAATCCTCCAACCTTTGGTCACAGGGTAAGTACGTGACCCAGGACCAGCCAATCAGTGCATGGCTTCAGCAAATCATTCAAGGATAAATATATGATCCAGGTCCGGCCAGGCCAATCAGGAGTTTTCATTCTGAAGATGAAAGGGTAATGTCTCTCTTTGTCCTCTGACAGATAACTAAAAGGATTGAATCCCCCAGAGTTGCTGGCTGCCCTGGAAGACCCTCCAAAAAGGAAGCCAATACATAAAAAGAAGCCAAGTTGAGAGAGAAAAGACGAGAGAGACAGAGTTAAAATTGGGATGCTATCTTAGCACCTGGATCCAGAGAACCCTCAGACCAGTTTTATCTCTGCCTTCCGTGTACAAAATGGCTGCCCCTTGCCTCTGCCTTTTTTTGCTTAAGTTAGTTCAAAATGCTCACTAACACTTTTTAAGAAAGTGGCCTTGGAGACCAACCAGTCCAATTTTCATTATCTTATAGATATGGAAATGGAAACACAGAGATTAAGTAACTGTACAAATTTATCAGCTGGTTAGTGCCAAAGGCCTGACAAGAACATCTTGCGGGTAAGAACAATATTAAAAATGAATCTAATAGCACTATCTGAAGTTGATGAATCAATAAAAGGATGAATACACATCTTGCTCATAAAGCTGTGAAAGAAACCATCAGGACTAAAAACAAATGGTTAAAAGCGTCCACACTGTAGAGTGAGACTAGAAGGAGGTAGAGGGAGGAAGTCTTTTATTTTTGCATTTCATAGTCTTCTATACTAGTAGCTTGAATATTTTTTAACCTATGTATAAAAAATTAATGTAATGTTTAAAATATATAAAATTCTGAAAACACATAAAATTCCAAAAGCTCCTATTCTACAGAAAGTCACATCATAAAAGAGGCCATGGTGCTGTTATCTTAGACAGCAGCTAAACATCCTGAAGCCTGAGAACATCCATTCCCCGAATTTGAGGTCACCAGGGGAGGCTCTCCTCCAAAGAATTTAACCAGTCATGACTATTACCACTACCAGTACCAACAGCGTCGCTAACACTGCTAGTGATGATAACAGCTAACTATCATAGAGCACTTTCTGTAAATCTGTATTAACTCATTTAGTCTTTACAAAACCCCTAGGAGATAGGCCTCTTTTATTATCTCCTTTTCACAAATGAGGAAACTGAGGCCCCAAGATATATTAAGTACGTTGCTCAAGGTTACACAGCTGGAAAGCAGTACAGATGGGATTCACCGAGGAGGTCTGGCCCGCAACTATTATATTATGGGATCTCTAATCCAGGCAGCAGGACCCACCCAGTACTTCCATGTGCACTGTGATTTCTTTAGCCACAGAGGACCTTTCTAATGTGGGTTCCACCCAAGACTGGCTCCAACTCTGTCACTGTATCCTCTTTGTTTCTTTGTTACTGGGATACAGACATTGCAGTGGAGCTCAAAACAGCTACATATGGAGACAACCTGGCTATGTCCTGAAGACAGTCCATATGTATTTTAGGTAGGTAATGTTTGGGTCTCATGTGCTAGGCTTTACAAACTTTTATTTATTGGAGAAACGAAAAAAATCTACAAAGCAACTCGACGGAGCTGGTTTTGAAACTAAGAAATTAAATTAGCTCCCAGAATTTCTTATTTCAGAATTTGCATCATCAACCAGCAGACATTACACTGTTGGACTATTAAATGCTCCATCCCTACTAAGCATCTATTTACAGCTATATCCTGTAAGTCTGAAAATGCAGTATGGGGGCAGGAAGATGAGATTAACTGGTAAAGATTCTCAGTGCATATTTTACAAGTTAAAAGTGAATCCAAATTTCTGAGAACATCAAGAGGCATGTCACAAAATAGTAATAAGTACCACCATGGAGTTTCATAACACAGAGGTTCCTACATAGTGACAGTGCTGTCCTTCACACTCCTCTTTGAAGAGGCTTGTTGTAGAAAAAGTAAAGAAATAGGAGAAGAAAAATGTCCTAAACAATTGGAATTGAGCTCCAAAAATGGCTTTGTTTCTGAAATCTCGGCCTTTTTTAGTGTCTCCTGCCTTTGGGCTAGTTAGGGCTTTCCCCAGCAGAAGTGACTGTGTCACCGATTATCTGTGTGGCATCAACAAAGAGAGGGAGGTCTGAGATTCTTCATGTCTGTGAAATGGAAAGTTGGACTATTTTTAAATACTCTCTTTAAATATGTTTTAAAGTTCCTCCAAGCTATAAAATCCACTATCTAGTCTTTCAAGATTGGACATCTGAATATTATTAATTTGTTATGTTGCTCCATCTCTTGAGAGACTGCATCACTAAATATGCTGGAATTTTTTTTAAAATGTATCTTTCACATGCTGATAAACAACACTAATTTATAAAGATGACTTTTTAGATTTCCATTAACACAGGGCTATCGCTGAAGAAATAAACAACATTTCTGAATAAATAATAAGATGCCAATAACATTTTCTACATAGTTCAATCTTGCAAGGGTAAACAAATGAAAGGAATGCACAGTTGGTCCTGGGTACTCAGAATAATTTATTTTCCCTTAAAGATCGACCATTACTAATAGTTTAAATGTTAATGGCCAAGATACACAAGCCAAGGCTTCCATAGTGTGAATGCAGGCCTTGCCTGATTGCCAGGCTCGAATTCCAACCTCTCCTCCAAAGAGGGAAAAAGGTCTCGAAAAAACTCAAAAATGCATTTTGGCACACTCAAGAGATGTAGCTTAGCAGCATGAATTAAGAGACTTGCGACCATGGAAAAGAATTGTAAACTGTAAAGATTGGCACCTGAGCTAACATCTGTTGCCAATCTTTTTCTTTTTTTCCTTCCTTTCTTCTTCTCCCCAAAGCCCCCCAGTAGGTAGTTGTATATTCTAGCAGTAGGTCCTTCTGGTTGTGCAAGAATTGTAAATTTTAAATGGCTTTGACCCTTCTTAGCTTTTGACCAACTGACTTTGACATTCCTTAGAGGCCAAAGGATGAGAAGCAGTAATGATGGTGCTGACTGACCTTTCCCCTCAGGAGGCAGACCCAATCCTTCCAGCAGCAAAGGAAGTTTATCCAAATGTGTCTTGGGAAGAATTGTAATAAATGAGGTTTTCTCCCTGAGAAAATGACTAAAACCACTAAAATAATTCTTAGATAAAACAACCCAATTATTTAATGTAATTACTCTTGAGGAAAAAATGAAAGAAATTTATCATAGCTACATGAAGTTTCCAACATGGTTACATATGACTGTGTATAGTCAAGAGTCATTTATCTGGCATTCTATCAAATGGAGTTTTCTATAATATGGTATTTATGACCATCTCCAATATGATAAGAAGCCTGCAACATCTTGAAATGCTTCTTGAAAGAAAACTTTATAGTATATATAGCTGTAGTATTGAGCTAATTTTACTGTCTTTTATGTCTTTTCCAAAACATGCAAATAATGAAGTTTGTTGCACACCACATCAGGTTTTATGATTATACGGTGAGATTTTATACAAATAGTGGCCCTTCATTTAGGGAAGTAGTATATACACCTGGATGTCACTCTTTTTGTTTTTTAAAGATTGGCATCTGAGCTAACATCTGTTGCCAATCTTCTTTTGTTTTGGTTTCTTTTTTGTTGTTCTCCCCAAAGCCCCCCAGTACATAGTTGTATATTCTAGTTGTAGATCCTTCTGGCTCTGCTATGTAGGACACCGCCTCAGCATGGCTTGATGAGTGGTGCTAGGTCCACGCCCAGGATCCGAACCGGCAAAACCCCAGGTCACCGAAGCAGAGGTCACAGAGCCAGCCCCATGATTGTTCTTTTTAAAATTTAAAACAAATAATGGAAAAACCCACCTGAGTGAGTATAATATTTGTATGATGATGTACACAGGAGATTCATGGAATGTATAGATGGAAGGAACCCGGATCATCTTATCCAGCAGAGCAACAAGTAAGTTTGTTGAAGTACTGCACAGGAGGCCGCTGACAGAGCTTAGATTAGCAACCAGGGTTTTTTGCTCTTAGCCTCTCAAGTGAAGACACCAAGGTATGAACTTCTTTCACTAAAAGGCTTTCACTAACAATTAAACCAAAAAGTCATTTCTAACAAGAATACAGATCAACATTCCTAAGAACGAAGGAAAGACATGTTCCAAATCAGTTGGGTTCCAACCAGGGCTACCTACTTCTTTGCTGAAGAGTGAGGAATGAGCCCTTGCTTAGGAATAATGTAGAGCTGACTATCCAAGAGTTGAAGTCCTCGTAACACAGCCACATCATTGTGTGTGTATGCATATGTGTGCATATATCCATACACATGACTAGATAGAGTAGTACCAGCATAATGCATATTTTCAAGTTTAAATAGGATAAATTATTGTCTAAGGACTATAGTCCTGAGTAAAAACGACAAAGAGTATACTTAATAACACTTTACGTGACCTTTCAAGTATGATCTTCTATCTTGGTTGTGGCCACTGGTAAAGAAAAGCATATTTGTAATCTCAGACGCAAAGCAACTCATACCAGAGAATCAAGATTAATGTGTATTTTAGTTGTTAATGCCTTCTGAATAAGACAGGATTAATGTAATAGTTTTAAGTACAGAAACATAAAAGTGAGGAATTTACTAGTGATTTTTTTTCTTGGAGTGGACATTTGTTATCTATGTAATAGATAAAATACATATAAAAATATATATCTATATATGGGGCTGGCCCTGTGGCTGAGTGGTTAAAGTTCCATGCACTCTGCTTCTGCAGCCAGAGTTCGTGGGCTCAGATCCCAGGTACAGACCTACTCCACTCATCAGCCATGCTGTGGAGGTATCTCACATACAAAGTAGAAGTCTGGCACGGAATATTAGCTCAGGGCTAATCTTCCTCAAGCAAAATTAAATACATATATAGCCTTTCAAGAGCATCATGCTATTATCTTTTAAAAATTATTACTATGTAGTATCAGTAGGACATTAGGACACACGGAGTGGGGTACTCCATTCTTCACTGTGTTTCCATGTGGAGGGTCTTCTGGGAGAGGAGCACTCCTTGCCTGTGTCCTCCCCTTTTGGTGAGTATGGGAGGTGGATCTGGGCATGCTCAGATCAGCCCCTCCCTTCCTCTTCTCCCTTTGGATCTGCTGCTTGCAGGGAGAGTGCTTTCTCCTCGTCCCTCTTGGGAGATAGGGAGCGGGGGTCTGCTCCAGTGGAACTTTACAATGCAACCTGTGAATGGCGGGGGTAAGCCTGGGTACCACAAGGGTGAGGTATGAGCAAGCTCACTTGGCCCGGCAACATATCTCCTTTCTCCTCTAGTTCTCCCCAGTACAGATCTGACACTTGAATCTCTCTCTTTCTGACTACTCACTTATTATGCAAATGGTCACAAACTTGAAGAGGGAGAAGGGACAGCCCCCCTCAAATATACATCATTCAGGCATTTTAACAGTCTCAAAGAACCTCAGACATATGGGCGCCCTTGCTAATGAATTAGTACATCTTCAAACCAATAGTCATTATTTGTTCAGCATTTATCTAGAGAAGTTAGCCCCAACTCTGATAAAGGGCAGAGAAGATGTGGGTGGCTTCATACTGACTCAATGCAACAAAATAAAAAGCATTAAATAGGTCCACTCCCTCTTAGAAGGCAATTCGGGGACCATCTACTGATAGCTCACACGTGCCTTCGATGGCAGGGTCACTCCTCACCTACAAGATACGCAAGAGTTCCTCTGCATCATGCTATCCATGAGGAATTCCCGTGAATGCAAATTCATCCATATCCTTTCATTTCCAGTGCAGTTTTAGTATGCCCACCCTCTCCTGAAGATAGAAAATTTGTCTTTATAACCCTTTTTAATTCAGATCTAAATACTGAAATTTACCCTGACAAATGACTTGTAACATTTTTAGTTTCTTACCCTGTAACAAAATACTGCCATCATGTTTTGATTATGAAATTCGTCGAAGAAACAAGGCACTGACATAATCTTTTTGACCAACAGAATTTAACTTTTTTGGCTTAGAGAATTAAGTACAATGATAATTCTGGAAAATTGGTCTAGCAGTCATAACAAAACTTTTTCTTTTTAAAATTGAACTCATAATTATAACTAATAACAGCAGACATTTCTATACCATATTTCTATCTCTTTTGAAATTAAATTCTATTTCTTAAAGTGCACATGATAAAAAATGCAAAAAAAATCCTGTTGGATTTCCATATGCAAAAAAAAGAAACTTGACTCACAATTCACACCTTATATGAAAACTAAGTCATGAATCTTTGACTTAAATATGAACCTAGAACTAAAATTTCAAGAAGAAAACATAGGAAACTCTGTGAGCATAAGTAAGGCAAAGGTTTCTTAGATAACACACCAAAAGTGTGATCCATAAAAGAAAAAAAATTGATAAATTGGACTTCATTAAAATTAAAAACTTCTGCCCTTCAAAATGCAAAATATACAAAAAGGATACTGTGAAAAAGTATGTCTTCATCTCATGCTTTTTTCCACCCTGTCCAATTTCCCCCCCTAGCATCAACTGAATACTGCTACCATTTCTTGTCTTCCCTCCCAAGCTAGCCCATACATAAAAAATATAGATATATACTATATGGTAGTTCCATTGCTCTTTATAACAAGATTTTTTTCTGAACACAAAACTTTCATATTCAATACATTTTCATTGAATACATTCAACACATATTCAGTTAATCTCACACTTTTGACAGCATTCACTGGTCATGTACACAGTTGAGACCAAATTCTTTGGAAGTAATTAGTTTTGAAGTTTACTTAAGCAAATATGGAAAAAGAACAGAAAAAATTTTAATTTGTTTGCCTTAAACATAAAAAAATCTTTCCTAAATTATCAGTCTCACTGTGCATTATTTAGTCATTATTCATATTTTAGCAATTTCGCCTGTTGTATCCTGGGGGAGAGAAGTTGTCCTCAGGGGCCTGGTATCAAAATACTATTTGAAGTACATAGAAACCAGTTTCTTCAGTTGTTTCCATTTCTTTGGGTATTGGTCTTTTTAAATAATAACATTCTCAAAGAAAAATGAGAATCTCTTTAGTCACTTTGATAATTAGAGGAAGTATTTGCCTAAGGCTAAACTAAAAACATTTTTCACACTATACAGCCCAATTCACATCCGAAATGACTCATTTAATACCTAAGTGAGCAAGAACACTCCCATCTCGCTTAACTCATTAGCCTGTTTTATTTCTTCACAGCATTTACCGTGGAAATGGTTGCATTTATGTATCGCTTTTGAAACTTTCCTCCTGAACGCCCAGCCTCCCACCCCATCCCTCCTCCAGCCCTAGGAGCTCAGCGCCTAAGGGAGGGGACTTTTTCTGTCCGGTTGCTCATGGCTGTGGTTCAGGATCTAGAATGGGCCCTGACAGCGTAGGTGCCCAACAGAGACTTCTCCACTGAATGAACTCCATTTCTACTACTGAGACTGGCTCTTATTCCTGCGCTATGGTTTGTAAATTCAGTAGCAGTTTCCAGATGTGAAAAGAAAGAGATGACCATTTAGAATATTTAACATTGTTTCGGCTACATTGATGTGGAGTGTAAAAAGGTTTGTGTATACCTCATTCTATATCCTCTAGACCTGTATGTCCAAATATGGTAGCCACTAGCCACATGTGGCTACTGGGCACTTGAAACGTCACTAGTCCAAATCGAGACGTGCTGAAAGTGTAAAATACACACCAAATTTTGAAGATTTAGTTCAAAAAGAGAGTGTAAAAATGATCTCACTAATAATGTTTATATTACTTACATGTTGAAGCAATAATATTTTTAATATATTGGGTTAAATAAAATATATCTTTAAAATTAAGTTCACGTCTTTCCTTTTTTCTTTCAGATATGACTACTAATAAATGAAAGCTGCTATGTGGCTTGTATTTGTAGCCCACATTTTATTTCTACCAGACAGAGCTCCTAGAGGCCTGATTCTTAACCCTCACTTCTTCCCACAAGGCTATTGTCTCTTTATCCTGTTAGATATCCACTAGGCCCTCATACTACAAAGCCCTAGAACCTAAGGACTTGGTCTCTATGGGGCCAGTATTATGGGATAGTGGTAATGGATTTGTCCATTGATAGTGGGAAAAAGCTGACCTCCAATTTCTTATTCATTTTCCAACTTATTTGCTGACTTCCCGGCAAGTAATATGAGAAATTATTCCAAGATTGTGTTTCTCAAACTGTTCCACTCTTAGCCGTTCACACAGGCGGGCCTGTTTGGGGCACCCTCGGTGCTGCTCATCACGATGGATGAGAGCACTCCAGCGTCTCTGGCAGAGCATTCTCCTTCGGGCAGTAAAAGAGACTCCAATTCCACAGAGAGCCTTGTCTTGTTAAGGTCAGACTGGAAGGCCGTGGTTATATAGGAAAATCAGTCTTGCCAGCTGCAGTGAGCATGGTTACTACTCAGTCATAAGGAAGAAGCTGTGAGGTGAAAGGTAAAAGAGAGCAGGCCTCAGGGTGGACATGAATTTGAATTTTCTCCCACATGAAATACAAAGTAAGCCTTGGCTCACGTAATAGAGGAAAAGAAAAAATGAAGTAACATGTCAACAAAAGAGGGAATGACCAAGTCACAAAGTCAAAG